GGCTTTGGGGCTTGTTCTGCTATATAAATAATAATGAACCTTTTCCAACAGGAAGTAATGTGAAATGAAAAAAAAAATCTGTCCCTAGAGTATAAAATTACCTCATAAACCAATTTGCATTTCTCCACTCCAAGCATATTTTCTGGGAGTTCTATGTAGAGAGAGAAAGCTGCTGAATGATAATTAATTTTAACAAGCACTTGGCAGACCCAGCGGGACAGTACACAAGCTGCCCTAGAGCAAGTACGAATTTGAACTCAACTTTTTACCATGTTTTTTTCCCACCATGACAATATGTAGGCATGAAAATGATCAGGACTTCAACTTTACTTTGTTCTTTTTTTCTTCATTTGGATTTTTCTTTCTTTTAATTCAACTTGAATACACAAGCAGTTTACAAACAGAGTTAAGAAATGTGGGAGATAAATGGATCTTGGTGTAGCAACACCTGAAGGGTATTAGGTATTTGTTATTCATCAAAGGGACCACTTGTTTTTCTTTTCTTTTTTCCCCATGTTCGGAAAAGAAATATACACATCTCCTGGCTTATAAGGTATAGTTCATTAGTGGAAAAAGTGCTTTAGAATGAGATCTTTATGTCATTTCCCATGCAGTATTTTCATTCTTTCTTAAAACACGACTTGGTAAAAGCAAGCGAGATCTTTGAGATGTGATCAGCAATGTTCCAGCACTACTTCTCTTACATCCCTGCACATGGAATACGGGCAAGCAAATGAGTCACTTCTGAAGAGGAAGATAAATTTTGAGAGAACTAATACTATGATTTGATAGTAATAACTTATCTCTCATCTATCCATCTAGTTTATTGTTCTATACTAAATTATTTATGCATGTCTGTAACTTTATAATTTATATGAAAAAGTGCAAAATCTTAATTATGGAAAAAAAGACATCCTGTAATTTCCCAAACAAGCTACTAAAAAGATGAATATCTCTCTACATATTTTCAGATGAAAAACAATGACATGATAATCCATCCCTCCTTATATTTTTGAAAACAGACTACCTGTGACTCAGTTGCTTGCTCTCACAAAGAACTAATTAACCTTCATGATTAACAACTCATCAAATTCCATTACTTCTATAAAGGCAATACTTTTTATCTTTCATATCAAATGTAAGCTCATAATTAATGCCATGTGTAAAATTGCAGGTTAAAAATAATGTGTCTGAATTTCTTATCCTCTTTCTTTGGAAGTATATGAAATGTTTACTCTACCTAGAAATCTTGATGCTTCAGTGGCCTGTTATTTTTGTCACCTACAAACATAATATTCAAATTAAGCTTTTCCTTATCAGGATCTCTCTTGATCATGTGCCACATTTGGAGCTTAGTAAATTTCTGCAAAGTCAAATCTATGTACCCACTGAAAGAATTTTCTTAATTTATTCTTGATTCTGATGGGAACTTTCTTAAATTGCACTCAACATTTACTCAGACTCTAACATAAGCAAGGCACTATGCCTAGAGGTAAGGGGCACACAGGTGAGTAAAATGAGGTCCTCAGGAAGCTTTTTAGATTAAAAGGACAAAGACTCTATTTACTTTATGTTGATAAAAGGGAGAGAGTTCTCACCTGGTTGCTAGCACACAAAGGTGTTAGTTACAGATCTGCCCCAAACTAAAGGTATGACCTTGAGAAAGCGTCTCTGTTCTTGCCCTCTCAATCTCTTCTTCATCTGTAAACCGGGCATTAGGATTATCCTTATTCAACAAACATCAATTGAGCATCAACCATGTGCTAATAGTGCTAACCTTAATGAGCAATTACCATGGGGCAGGTATCAGAGTAAACATTTTATGTGCATTATCATTTAATCCTCAAAGCAATCCTATTTTCTAGAGGAGGAAATTGAAGCTCAAAGATGGTAAGTAACTTGCCCAAGGATACAAAGTAGCTGAGCCAGGATTCAAATCTAAGGTTGGCCTGACTCCAAAGCTGATCCCTTTAATTTTTTTTTTAAGATTTTATTTATTTATTTGACAGAGACAGAGACAGCGAGAGCAGGAACACAAGCAGGGGGAGTGGGAGAGGGAGAAGCAGACTTCCCGCGGAGAAGGGAGCCCGATGCGGGACCCGATCCCAGGACCACAGGATCATGACCTGAGCCGAAGGCAGACGCTAAACAACTGAGCCACCCCGGCGCCCTAAAGCTGATCCCTTTAAACAGTACATCATGTTGTTGCCACCATCTCTAACAGTTTCTAATTTCTTTATTGTTAAGTTTTTTATTTTAATCCCAGTGTAGTTAACATAGTGTTATGATAGCTTCAGGTGTACAATATAGTGATTCAACAATTCCATGCATTACTCAGTGCTCATTGTGGTAAGTGTACAAATAGATTCTAATTTCATTATTACATGGTTATTTACCCTAAACTTGTAAAATGTAAATACAAAGAGTTTGATTTTTACAGCGGAGGGGTGGAGGTTAAGGGTATACAACAGAATGTCACATTGATTCCAACCAGGGAAATCCAAGGAGATTGCCTGGAGGAGGCAGCATGTGGCTGCAGTTAATGAGATTCCCTCACACAGAATTGGAGGGGTAAGGGCATTCCAGGCCAAGAGAACTAGGTGAGTGGTCACAAAGCAGTAAACACTCATAGATCTGCAAGAAATTGTGGAAAGGGCAGTAAGAATGAGGCCCTGAAAATTCAGCTCGAGCCAGATTGTGGAGAGCAAGTTAGTCATGCTAAGGACCCTGCACACTCTGGGAAATAGGCAGCCTCTGAAAGTTGTACATGAGAGTGGAATGATTAGTACCTTGTTTTGAGCTTATTTCTTTGTTTTGTTGTTTTTAATTATTTACAACCAGTGAGAACTGTTAGCAAGGCTGCCAAACACAAGATGAACATAGAAAACTAGTGATACTAAACACTAGCAACAAATAATTTAAAATGTCATTTTCAGAAGAAACAATTTGTAATAGCAACACAATTAAAATATAACTTGGGAAAAATCTCAAAAAATATGTGAAGTGTCTTTTACACAAAAATTATAAAGCCTGAGGGGCACCTGGGTGGCTCGGTCGGTTAGGCGTCTGCCTTTGGCCCAGGTCATGATCCCAGGGTCCTGGTATCGAGCCCCATGTGGGGCTCCCTGCTCAGTGGGGAGCCTGCTTTTCCCCTGCCTGCTGTTCCCCCTGCTTATGCTTGCTCTCTCCCTCTTTCACTCTCTGTGTCAAATACATAAATAAAATCACTTTTAAAAATTATAAAACCTAATTAAAAAATATATGAGAAGTTGAAGTAGAGAAATATGCCATCCTTATAAATGGAAAGACAATAAATTGGCCTATAAATTCAATGCAACTCCAATGAAAATCTCACAGAGCTTATTTGTAGTAGAGGCCAGTCAGTCCTTATAGTCACATGGAAAAGAAAGGGTCAGTTTTGTCAAGATAATTTTGAAGAAGAAAAAGGGTAGATGTCAAAACCCCACAGATGTCGTATTAAGAGGTACAAATTTCCTGCTATAAAACAAATAAGTCACAGAGACTTATTTGAGAAGGTCAGCATAGGAATACAGTCAATAATACTGTAATAACTGTGTGGTGACAGATGGTGACTACACTTATCGTGGTCAGTAACAAGTACTATACGGAACGTCGAATCACTATATTATACTCCTAAAACTAATTTAACATTGTATGTCAACTGTATTTCAATAAAAACAAACAAAAAAAAACAGATGTCAAACATTTTAAAACTAGGTGACCTGAGATTGCCCCAAGGACAGTTACGGTTTTCTATTTCTTTTTTGGGTTATAGTGTGGAGGGAGGGAGTAGGAAAGATGACACTGATGACAAAAAGACAGGAGCTCCTCACCCACTTTAAATCAAAGTGACCCTGAACCTTAAACACAGTGGTTCTGACTCATAAAGTCAAAAGCTGTTTTCAAAAGAAGCCCTCACAAGATAGGGGCCTGGCCAAAGGATAACAATTCTAAGAAGTTGGAATAAAGTTTCAATCAGCCAGCTGGCATGTACTAATCACCGGATATGTGCCGAAAACAAAGGAGCTAGAAGATGAAATTGTAAGCACAGCACCCTGGGTAGAGGCAGAAGTCACACATGAAATAACTAGCGAAACCACTTTTAAAGCAACACACTAGTAAGTGTAGTCAAGTACAAGTATAAACGAGAAAATGCTGAGAGCTGCCGGGGGGGGGGGGGGGAACCACAGGCAGACGGGCTCAGGGAGACCTTGTGAAACAGGCCTGGGAAGTGTGTGGCTATAGGAGTCACTGTGGTTGAATGCTACTGGTCCCCTGCCACTCTCGCATTCTAGCAGGACAGCACCAAAACTATCACTCTGCACTACCCATTGCATCTAAATTCCATCAAATTATGACAAACTTAACAAGATGCAACTTCAAAATCTGCCTTCCTCTGTAAGAAACTGGCTAAGGATTTGTCTAAGATTTAAGAAATTGGTAGGCCTGTCTTCCTACTTGTTGTTCTCTTTCTTGGTGTACGTCTTATGATGCTGCAATTGGCTAGGAATTTCTTCTCCCTGGGGATTCTTTATCTTTGGCCTTAGATCATTCACAACTATTGCTTGTGGGGTACAGAGCGCCAGCAGGGAGGAAGAAACAGAGGTTAATACCTGGTGGAGGATGTGATTCCTCTCACTGAGAAGCTTATTGTTTAAAGAATGGTGAGTCCCAGAAGGACGTGAAAATATACATGAGATCGCAATGTTCCCTCACAGGAGTGCTGCCTACACTGTGCATCATTAGAAGAGACATGGACCCACTAGGGCTTTCTAAACCATTTATAATCACACTGGCTCAAAGAACCAACTTAATACATCCAATAACCAAAGTTCCTGCTACAAGTACCTCACCTCAGTTGGGTGTTGGCTCATTCATATTCCAGCCAAAAGGTAATGTACCATAAAGTGCATACTGATAAGTCTCCAATGATTAAGGCAACCACATAAATCTCATTACTTAAAAGAAATTAAACTCACTGTGGTTTATATAGCAGTATTCCTCATCCATGTCCGATGTCAGATAGTTCGCATGCCAGTCACAGTTAAATATAATTTGCTGTAATCCTGGTAAATGGGAGGTAATCAAGAAGTCCTCAACTCCAGCTCCGAAGCAGCACAGAAGACATTTCTGAAATACATTAATAAAGAGTGGGTGGGGAGAAGGCTTCCTGACAATAACCGACATCTGTTATGTATCAATAATGTTCCCTGGGTTCTGGTTTCTATTTATTAGAATTATAAATATGTACACAGTTTAAGAGATTTATCTGATGTTTCTTATTTTTTCTGTTATCCTTACATGGTTACTAAAATTGAGATTAGAGCCACCATTTCTTGAACGTGCTATTCTAAATCCTTAGCTTACTTGATCTCCGCTCAGCCTCACAACAACCCCATGAGAAATTATTCTGCTTGCCACTTTGTAGCTAAGGAATCTGAGGCAAAATAAGTCACATGCTGCCTGAAGTCTCACAATTAATTAAAGGCGAAGACAATACTTACACTAGCTCTGATTCCATAGCCCAACCTCTTTTTAACTATTCACTGCTCCCCTGGTTGTAGACACTTTTTGTATGATTGTTCATTAATATGTGGATAGGTGGATAGCTCAAAAATTTCTAAAGATAGTCTGGGGATTCTGGTTGGAAATAGAGGACTAGGAATCTTACTTGAAGAAATATTTCAATAGCACAATTTCATTTTCACTAGATGGCAAGTTATTTGGGGTGGTTTATTTGGGCTGATTAACCGAGTTTAGAGGAGGTAAGGGTTAAAGGCCTCCCAAGCCATCCTTTGGTGCTGCTAATGTAGATCACGTTACTATGTATTTAGTATCATTTTCTCTTTGGTTCCCTGAAGAAGGGCTATCTGTCCTATTTCACACCTTCAAATGTAAAATGTTATACCATATAAGTACTATGGATCACAGTACTAAGTCATAATTACTTTTTCCCTATTGATTTTTTTGCTGTGATCCACTGAAAGACATAGAAGCTACTGCTACACAATGCCTAAATAATTGATTACATGTGGGGGAAAAAATTCACATCCACTAGCCACAAAACATCACATGTACAGAGCCGCTTTAATTATATATCTTATTTCTAATGGTCATGCAGAATTTAGAAAGCACAGTTGTTCTGAAGTTGATATCACACAAAAGCCCAAACCTGTTGGAGACTAGGGATACTATTTTGAATACAGGCAAAATTTTGAAGTACGAAAAACTGTTTTGGGCACTATATTCCTTTCCCAAGCACTTAACCCGAGTCTCAATTTTACTCTAAACTGGGTTAGTATTATCTCCTATAGCTGTTACCTGAGAAGAGCTGTCATCAACTTAGTACCAGCCTAACGTCCTCAGGTCTCAGCGGGCTCTGAAACTGCACAAAACTGGATGATGACATCTATACCCTAGATATGTTAGGAGAATTCAACACAACTCTTTACCTAGACTAAGGAGCACAGTACCAGACACAAAATAGGCACTAGATAAATGGTAGTTATTTGGTGCTATAAGCATATACAGCGCTGACTGGGTAAGGGGTCTAATTCTGCAGAGGGAAGAGGTTTGAGGGAGTCATTTGTGTATTTATTCTTCCTTTTCTTCCTCAGTGAATGATAAAGATGTGCTGTATGATTTTTAAAGATGAAAAATGTTAAGTGCCATTCATCTGTAGCATGAATATATACACTTGCAGACCAAAAGACTAATTAACTCGGTTTTTATAAGTAAATCATACAGCACATCATATACAATGGTGCGTTATCAAAGGCTTAAAAACCCCAATTCGTCCACCCACACTGTGCAAACTAGCAAACATGACATTTGGAAGTGTGAAAATCAAGCTTACGAAAATGTTTACACGTGAAGACAAACTTGTGACTACGTACGTATTGTTGAAAAAGGAAATTACCTAACCAGACTTGGGGTGGAGTCACAGCCCACTTAATTGTCATAAGGAAAAAACAAATCCATTAATTCAACACACACTTGTTGAGCGCCCACTACCTGCCAAGCACAAACAAAACCATTCACAAATACCAGCTGGGCTTGCTCGCGGCGGGCAGCCTTCCCCACTAAAAACAACACTATCTCGGCTAACACCTTACTCAACATTTTCACGAAGCACGTCATGGAACAAAGGGATGGAGCAAGCTTGGCCCGCCCCCTTCCACAGGCCTCGCGCGTTCACGTAATCGCAACTCGAAAACTCCAAAACGAACCTACGGCGTCCCACGAGGAAACGAAAACTAAACAGCAACTTCTTCCGCCCACGTGAAAGATGGCGCTTGACGCGTCAACCATTCCTGCTGCCCGGTTGCTTCCCTTCGGGGGGCGGGGTCCAGAGAGAGCAGGAGGTGTGTGCTTAGGAGGTGTGTGCTTTTGTTTTCCTCACCCTTTCTCCCCTCACTGATAGTATTCGTTGAAGGTGATGGGCGAAAGATTGGGTAAAATTTACCCAGAAGAAGAGCACCAGACGGGAAACAACCGCAGCGTGAATGGGTTCGGGGTCGGGACGCGCGCGAGGGGCCCGGATCGGGGGCGGGGCCAGGGGTGGGGCGGGGCGGTGGCGGGGCTGCGGTTGCGGTCCCTGCGCCCGCGGTGGCTGAGTCGCAGGCGGTGGCGAGGAGGGTGAGTGAGAAGCCGGCGGGCCGGCGACTGTTTGGGTTTGGGGTACAGGGACCGCGCGAGGGCGGCGGCGGTGGCAGCAGCTCTCCCCAGGGCTCGGCTTGTCCTCCCTGAAGGAAACCCGGCATCGGGTTTTCCAGCTGGTGACTTAGTAGAGTTGCCTCCATCCGGGCCCCCGGCTTCCCGGCGGCGGCGGCACGGAGACCAGGGGCTGGGGATCCGGGCCCCTGGCCCTCTTTCCCAACCGCAGTCCACGAGCCGGCCGCTTCCCGGGGTCCCGGTGTGAGACCCAGACGGACCCGTCGGACCACCTGCGCCGCGGGTTCGAGGGAAAGCACCTCGAGCACAGAGAGGCCTGGCTCTGGGCAAGGCCGGAGGGCGGGTGGTGTGCGTGAACCCCAAGTCCGGGTCGGAGAGGAGATAAAGCGGGGTGGGATGGCACGGGGGAGATACCACCTGGCTACACAATTTGAATACAAGTTTCTAGAGATTGTTGATTCCCTCTGAATTTGAGGAGCAATTCTAGACTGGGTTGTGCTCCCACTGTGTGGGTCATGACTTGCTTGCTTCACAGCTCCGAGGTTACACAGACTTACTTAAAGGAAGTGACCATTATGACTTGAGCATCACTTGACTGATAGTATCTGCTGCAGAAGGAAGGGCACTGATTACATGTCTAATACGACTACACGGCATCTGAGTCACCCCCTACTCCACCAGGCTACTGTATTCAGGAGACATAGGGAAGTCATGCACTTGCTCAAGAGAGACCCTTTCAGAAACAATGGAGATGCTAGGCCCTAGAAAAGTAACAAGGGGTTGTGGCCAGCGGATAAATTCCAATACAAACTGTTCCCATCCCTCACCTGTGATGAAAAGCAAGGGGAACATCAAAAACTAATGATGTAATGTATGGTGATTAACATAATAAAAAAAAGAAGGAAAGAAAAGCAAGGGAACACAACATCTCTGGCTTTACTTTTAATTTGTACTTTTAATTTGAAAAATAGTTTGATACCATCTTTTATCGGACTTTAGAAAACTTTTAACATAATGGGAACCTTACAGAAGCGAGAATATATGGAAGATTAATAATATGGAGTCAGAACACTTGAAATATGATGGTGTTATGTGACACAGATACCTTTGGCCACTACCTCAGCCAAACCCTGCTACTGGAAAAGCCCCGAATTAGTTGGAAATCGCCTCATGATTGACTACTCTTTATACATCCAAAACAAAAGTGAGAGAAATTCTGGACCACATTGCTTATTGTGCACAAAGCCAGCACTAACCTGCTTCAGGAAAGTTACGTAGGTGCTAAAGATTTTTTTTTCTCCCTTTATAACATTGATAAAATAGTCTCTTTATTTAGCTCTGTTAGCAGTCCAAAATTTGCTTTCGGAGAAAAAAGTAAAAACAAAAAACAATGAGGACGCCTATCTTTCAAGCCTGCCCTTGGGCTCCATGTTAATTAAGTAGTTCTAAAGAGTAGAGTGGGTTAGCCTCCTATTATGTGAGAAACTTGGATCTGTGAGAGATAGCCTGACAGTGATATAAATTTCATTTGCGAATCTTGCCTGATAAAAATTTAGGAAGTGTCCCAAACAGTCGGGTGTTAACAGTTCACTGTCATTAAAGCTGGCCTGGGCAGCGTCTGTTTCTGAAAAGGGGGCTGGCTTACGACCCTGCTGCTTTTAGGGCTGGGAGAAAATAAACAGAAAGCATGGTTATAAGAAGTGTGAGCCTTATGATGGTAGAATTCTGATTTACAATAGCAGTAGACCAATCAACTTTCTAAATACCAGCGGGAGAAGAGATGGCTGGTTTTTAGCAAAGGTTTAAGAAAAAGCAAAGCTTAGAACCTACTACTCTGCTAACAGTTTTAAGAGATGGTAATTAATATGATCTTTATGTCTGCATATGTTGGATTATTTTCAGAAAGTATATTGGGTACATCCTCATGAACCCTATTCTTTGTTTACAGGAGTGGAAAGCCACCGTGTCACCCAATTTGGATCCTGGCTTCCCTCAAAAGACTCTTAAGGCTAATCTTTGATAACCTTCTGGAGTAGCCAACTACATGTAGTTATATAGATAAACAACTGTTGGTTTTGACCTGATTTTTTTCAGCCACATTTATGTATATGGAGTTTCCTCACCAAAGATGATGACTTTTAAGTGTTAGTAAAATTATTTTTACAGCTCTCTTAATTATACTTCTCTGTAACATTTCATTTCTCAAAATTATTAATTTTGGCAGGATTTTAAGCCAAACAATTCAACATGATTCTTGTCTTTTGTTTTCTTTCTAATGATAATAGCAATGAGTATAAATGAAATTAATGGTCTGTAATAGTTTAATTTTCACAGTCAGGTAGAAATTTTCTCATAATCCAACCAGATTTTGCTCTGGGGCTCGGTTCGGTTTTAGGAAATGCTTTCATTTTCAGCATGATGAAATGTTTGAGTTAAAATATTGTTCTTATGATTATTTACCTTTTTTATCCAAAAAGGAGGAACAAAAGGAAAATGTTACAATATAATTCTGTGGCTGTGTGTTAACTCATCTCCTTGGCCTTCAGTTTGTTATTAATGATGACAAAAGCATCGTTACAGTTTGAATTCAGATTACATTCCTGTATTCTATCATTGTAAACTGTTTAAATTTTATGCAAAACAGTGGATATTTTAAATAAGCTAGACAGTTTATGTCCACTATAGTCTTTTAAGAATGTTAAGTTGGTATAACACATTAAAAATTAAATATTTCCTAAATGAATTACTGAACTAAAAATACATACATTAACTGCCTTTATGTTAAATCATTTCAACACGTGCATACTATAAAGTGTTTGCCAAGTTCTGTATACCTATTCTTGACATGCATGATAAAAATGCTCATCTAATACTCTAAAAATAGAAGCCACTTCTTTTCAGCAGTCTCTGAACTCTCTTGACAAGATATAAGTAAAATTCTTTAAGTAAATGAATTGTAGTTATAGATCAAAAGTTGCCTCCCAAAGCAATCCTATAGGCAAAAATAGGTATATCATAATTCACCTATTAATTGCTGTCCTTTATCATTATGATGAGTAGATTCCACAGTTTTAGACTTGCTTAAATGTAATTGTTATGGTTCTTTTCACTTTAGGTCTTTCAATACACATATTCAATTTTTTTTAAAGATTTTATTTTTAAGTAATCTCTACACCCAACGTGGGGCTCGAACCCCCAACCCCAAGATCAAGATTCACATGCTTCACTGACTAAGCCAGCCAGGCACCCTTCTGTTTTAATATTAGGCAAGAGTGATTCATTTTACACTATCACAGAGAGTATATACCTTTAGAGTGTTAGATTTCAGTGGGTTAAGATATATAGGAGACCTTGATTCTTGCCTGACTCTGACCTTGGGCAGTTAGCTTTTCTCTCTGTGTCTATTTTCCCAGCAGAGTGAAAGGCTTGACCAGTATCTATCCAGTCACTTTGTTCTTTACATGTTCTAAATAACCGAAGCTTTTTTAGTTTAGCCTTTTAGTATAGAACTCTTGGTAATGAACTCATTGTACTGCTACACTGCTTTCTTAAATTTAAGTAGCATATTAAATATATTTATCTTCATCTTGATGTTTCAACTTTATTTTAAACACCAGTATTGGGCTTTAGTGCCATGAAACCCAGAGAGCTTGTTGAGAATAAAGGTACTGTTCACTCGTTTTTTTGTTATGTTTCCAGCTTAATTGTGTTTTTGCGATCTTTTGTCTTTCTTTCTTTCTTTCTTTCTTTCTTTCTTTCTTTCTTTCTTTCTTTCTTTCTCTTCTGTTTTTCTTTTTCTTTTTTTTCCCTTTTAACAGCTTTAGGGTATTTCTACTGACGGGTGTCTTTTTTTTTTAAAGATTTTATTTATTAGAGAAAGAGAGCATGAGAGTGGGGAGGGGCAGATGGAGAAGCAGGCTCCCCACTGAGCCGGGAGCCTGATGCAGGGCTTGATCCCAGGACCCTGGGATCATGACGTGAGCTGAAGGCAGACGCTTAACCAACTGAACTCCCCAGGCGCCCTGTACTGACAGGTGTCTTTACTAGTTTCCTAGGACTGCTATCACAAAGTACCACAAACTGGGTGATGTAAAACAACAAAAATTTATTCTCTCACAGTTTTGGAAGCTAGAATAAGGTGTCCATAGGGACATGCTCCTTTGAAGGCTATAGGAAAGAATCTTCCTTGCCTCTTAACTCATAATAGTTACCAGCAATCTTTGGCTTCCTTGGCTTGTAATCATGTTGCTCTAATTCCTACCCCTGTCTTTACATAGCCCTGTTTCTCTTTTTCCATGTTTCTAAATCTTTCTCTCTTAAAGACACCAATCATTGGATTAGGATCCACCCTAATCCAGTATGACCCCATCTTAATTCGAATATACCTATTTTTTTTTAAGATTTTATTTAATTTATATGACAGAGAGAGAGGGAGAGCACAAGCAGGGGGAGTGGCAGGCAGAGGGAGAAGTAGGTTCTCCACCCAGCCGGGAGCCAGATGTGGGACTCGATCCCAGGACCTTGGGATCATGACCTGAGCCGAAGGCAGACGCTTAACCGACTGAGCCACCCAGATGCCCTGAATATACCTATTTTCAAATAAGGTCACATTCATAAATACAAAGGGTTAGGACTTGAATATATATTTGGGGGTTGGGCAGGACACTGTTCAACCCACGACAAGTGTGGTGGTCTCTAGCTGAGCCCTCCCTTTTCCAATTTGCTCCTCTTTGTTGTTGTGGTTTAGGAACCAAATATCCAATCATTAGAATTGCACGTAGATTGGATATTTGGGAACAGTGAGGGTCTATTTTATGAGCTTTAGCATACGATATTTCATATTAATGTTCAAAGACCCTTTTTTAGGTCATTATTATTTTGAATTTCTAAGTGTATTCCCTGAATATAGGTGACAAGTTATTATGCATCATAAGGTTATCGTCGTATTAGCAAGCATTTGATGTGCACCTGCCATGCTTGTCAAATGTCTATCCTAGTAGGAGACATGCTTCTAAATCTTTTGACTGAAGAGAAAACCACATAGCCTAAGTCATTTGAATTTCTGATGCATGACTTTAAAATTGCTGAACCTAATCATTGGTTTTGTATGTTATTGTTTAGATATCCCTGGAGCATTTGGATAATGTGGTAGTTGGGATGCAGTGATGTCGAATCTCTGTCCACCGCCATCTCCAGCTGTTGCCAAGACAGAGATTGCTCTAAGTGGTGAATCGCCTTTATTAGCAGCTACCTTTGCTTACTGGGACAATATTCTTGGTCCTAGAGTCAGACACATTTGGGCTCCAAAGACAGAACAGCTACTTCTCAGTGATGGAGAAATAACTTTTCTTGCCAACCACACCTTAAATGGAGAAATCCTCCGAAATGCAGAGAGTGGGGCTATAGATGTGAAGTTTTTTGTCTTGTCCGAAAAAGGAGTAATTATTGTTTCATTAATCTTTGATGGAAACTGGAATGGAGATAGGAGCACATATGGCCTATCAATTATACTTCCACAGACAGAACTTAGCTTCTACCTCCCACTTCACAGAGTGTGTGTTGATAGATTAACACACATTATCAGGAAAGGAAGGATATGGATGCACAAGGTGAGTGGTTTTTGAGCTTATTAATCATGCTAACCTGGCCATTGAAAGTTTATCTTCTGATATATTCATAACTAATACTTAGAAATGATACGCAGTTAACTTCAAACAGTAGCTATTATTTGCATCTGCCCTATTAGATAGTTCTAGTGGTCTGATGTCAGTGATCTTCATAATAACCCTTGAAGGTAGGAAATGATAGTTCTTTTTTTTTTGGAAACGATAGTTCTATGTTACAAGTAAAAGCTAAAGCTTAGAGGAATTGAGAACATCATAGTAAGCTTTAGAGTCTAGGTTTGTCTTAGGAACCTTTAACTGTAAAACCTTTTCTCTTTTTGCATTGTATGACCCTGTTTTTTACTTAATACTGTGTGTAGGTACAAGCAGTTCAAAACAAGTGTTTCATAAGCCTTGTAGCCTTTGGTCTCTTTTACTTCTTTGCCAAGTTCTGAAATTTGTAAAATGAGGAGGTTGCACCAAATGGTTTCTAGATGTTCCTTTTAATTTTGCGGATCCAGCCAGAGGAAATTACTGTCATCCCCTAAATCCTGTAATTTAATATTTAGTGATATTTATGTTTTCATATACTTTTGGCAGACCTGAAGAACAAATTTAACTCTCCTTTCTGCTTTACAGTTTTGATACTAATATGGAAGTCTGTTAAAGCGTTCTTAATTTTATAAGGCTTTTACTCCTAGTAAGAAGTAATAGTATCTTTGAAAAGAAGAGTGTTTTACTGTTTGCATACTATGTTTTCTTATTTTAAATGTTCATGAAAATCATTTAAAAATCAGGAAGCCCCAGATACATATAACTTGATCTTACTTAATTTGAAAAGTACAAACCATTAGTTTCCTTTGTGAAACTATGCAGATGTTACATTGACTGTTTTCTAGTAAGTTATCTTTTTTTTATCTGCACAGAAAAGGGTGTTTTTATTTTATTTTGTATTGTTTATAAGAGAATGGATTTGTTGGATTAATTTCCTGTCCCCTCCCTTTTTTTTCTGCCCTAATGTGGAAAGTATTTTTCCCATGAACTGAATTACACAACAGCATGTCTGCCATTTAACTGTATTGTGAAAAATAAATATCAAAATGTTTTGTTAATTTTCATGAATTTTCTCTTGCTCAGGAAAGGCAAGAAAATGTGCAGAAAATAATCTTAGAAGGCACAGAAAGAATGGAAGATCAGGTAAGATACAGACTGCATACTATCAGACACAACCAAGTTCATGACATGCATCTGTATAAGGCTGAAGGCTACTTTTCTTAAGGCCTTGAAGCCGTACCGTACTATTTTGACAGAGTGAGTATGAAAATGAACAGAGCCTTTATGGAAATATATGGAATAAACTGGATGAAAATTTTCATATCTTAGACCTGCAGAGTTAAATAAGTGAAGAAAAATAGCAATTTTGCTACCTTTTTTTTTTCTCTTTGCACGGACTAAGTTTTGAATAACTTGTTCATAGTAAAAATTTTAAGTTTTATATGAGATTTTCTTTAAGGCATTGCTTCTTAAACATTTCCCCAGAAGCAGTTATAACAGGAGAGAAGTGAGTATACTCCTCTAAGATATCTGGGGATACAGGCTTAGTTCTAAGCATAATAGTTTTGTGAAGTCTCATGCTGTATTTTTAACACTCATGCAATTTATATTTTATTTCCTATCTATTTAATGTTCGAATTTGCCAGTGATATTCCTCACATTTCTGATTATATGAAGTCTCTAGGGAAACATGCCATGGTTATCCCACGGCTTTGAATCTGCCTAGGGCACAGGCACCAGCATTTGAGATGCATGATTGCATGGTTATGGTTTCCCTTGTGGAAGTTAAATATAAACCATTTCAGTGCAGGGCAGAGATGTTCTGAAGGGGAGTCTCCAAGGGAGAAAGGGTTCTTTGCTTTTACTCCCATTACCTTTGGCCACTCAGTGTTCCTTGTGTTGAACTCTAGTCTAAGGATGACTGGGTTGTCTTTACTCTGGTTCTCCTTTAGCGTGCCTAATACAAAATAATACTTTAAACAATAACTTTTCTAAATTTTTGTGAATATACAGGACTTAAACCAGGAAAATAGAAAACCCTATAAAATGATCTCCTTTATAAAATTGTTATTATATCTGTATTTTTGCAAATAACTCTCCAGGCCAGAGGAGGTAATCCTGGGGAAAGGTCTAACACTTAGAAGAAAATGTTTCCTTTTACCCAGAGAAGCTTGGCCTTTACTTGGTGGTCAATGGGCAGAGTGCGAGCACTGGGGAGACTTTGACCAACCTCTAGATGTACCTTCTAGTTATGGAGTAGTTAGTAGAGTTACCTCAAGATAAAGAAATTTAAGACCCAATAAAATTCTGCTCTTCCTGGGATTTTTTTTTTCAAACCAGAAACCTGTATTTTAAAAATTTCCCACTATTAACTTTTAATTTATTTCTGTTTTAAGGGCTCTTCTTGAAAATGTTACCCTCTTCCTTCTGTATATTTAGACAAACTGGATGTTGTTTTTTTTTTTTAAAGATTTTATTTATTTATTTGAGAGAGAGAATGAGAGAGAGAGAGCACGAGAGGGAAGAAGGTCAGAGGGAGAAGCAGACTCCCTGCTGAGCAGGGAGCCCGATGTGGGACTCGATCCCGGGACTCCAGGATCATGACCTGAGCCGAAGGCGTCGCTTAACCAACTGAGCCACCCAGGCGCCCCAAACTGGATGTTTTTAAAGGGGAAACGTTCTCTTGTTAAGAAGTTCAAGTTAGAGAAGTCACAGGAGGAAAAGATACTTGAGGGATTTTCTTTCCAGTTTCTTCTGTGTTCAGGCTTGTACGATTTCTCGTGTTAAGCTTTGATGAGGATATGCATTCCACTACAATAAATATCTGCGATACAGTGTATGGCACTATATATATGCCTAAACCTAAGGGAAGATATTTTTCTACAGTTATCCTTTCTGCAAAGAAGCTGCCTGATAATTGAATCCTTGCATATCTCACATCATGTGCTTAAAATGACCTTATTTTGAACAAATAAATACTATTTGGGGATGACACATAAGTCTGGAATCAGTCACTGACTTCATTCAGGGCAAGTTTTGGATGCTTATAGCTATCATCTGATAAAATCACTTTACAAGGAAACAGCTATATAGCTAGTCATTTTTCTTGTTGAATTGTATGTGTTGATTGTAATTGTAAACAAGCATTTTAAAAATTCTTTTAAAAAGCAGAAACAGTGAGTGGTTATGTTTGGAGGTTACTACAGGATGAATTTTTTAAAATAATAAAACCTTCTATATGATACAAGGAGGCTTATGACTTAGCATAAAGTTTCCACAGACAGCATCATATTTAAATTCCTAAGTTTCTGAAAAACTGGCTATAGTCACTCAAAAAATGACTCCAGGAATGACTGAGATTTAAAGACCCATGTTTAATAAAATAGTTTCATGAAAGATGAGTGAAGAAAAAAACTGTTATTATTCTTGATATGTGATTTTAAAAACACATTTAGCTAAAAATTAAGATATGTGACAATTTCATCTCTCTAAAAGTTTACATATTCAGGGGGCACCTGGGTGGCTCAGTCATTAAGCGTCTGCCTTCCGCTCAGGTCATGATCTCAGGGTCCTGGGATTGAGCCCCACATCGGGCTCCCTGCTCAGTGGGAAGTCTGCTTCTCCCTCTTCCTCTGCCTCTCCCCCTGCTTGTGAACTCTCTCTTTCTCTGTCAAATAAATAAATAAAATCTTTTAAAATAAAAGTTTACATATTCAGGATGGTTCAAAAATGTGGGGGCAGGGGTGATGGTAATGAATAAATGAGAGATCACCCATCTTTGAGACACTCTACATTTGTGATGTTCTATATTGACTTTTCAGTTTCATTCTAGAAACTACAAATGTCAATGATGTCTGTTTATTGATTCTTAAAATATATGTGATGATTTTGATTTGCATTTGGGTACTAAACCTTATTGTGAAGGTACAGGTTGAATATTGACTCAAGCTTTACTACTCAGTTATTTGCTGACTACTTCTAAGTCTTTTTATGGTTGGTTTTCCTCATTTTTAAATATAAAATGCATCAGTGACCTTTAATTAACAAGAGTTTTTCATATCTCAAATAAATATCAAAGGAAATCCTTTCTGAATTTGGCATAATTTAATTATTGCATGGACTGGTAAATCATAAGTCAATGATTCCACTCTAACTAAAGAAAATCATTCCTGGAAGAATGAAAATTAGTTTTAAATAGTTTGTACATCCTTTAGAAACGTTTTGGAGTAGTAGACATGTTTGGGGCTGTGTTTTAACAAGTTATCAGGTATTTCTATCAAAGGATGTCATCATTTGCTTTCAGCTCTTATTTTTTTATTGCCCCATTTATCCTATACAAGTTTTCCCTGCTATCCAAAAACGGAGCGTTCCTGTAAAATCTTTTATAGACTGAAATGGCCATAAAGAATCAGTTACCATTAATTTATATGGAAAAGTTTTTTGTTGTTGGTCAGTGTATTTAATTAACTAATGCTACAGTAAAAAAAAATTAAATTTATTCATATATTTAATGTACATTGCATCTTGATTTATTAAAGCCAAGTGACATTCTAGTGGGCACTTACTGTTTTTTATGTTATTTTATGGAGTGTAACATCAATTGCCTCCCCCAAGTATGACTGGAATAAAAAGGAAACCTTTAAAGATGTGGGGCAGTTTTTTATTTTCACAAATTGTTCCTAGAGATCTGAAACTAGAGTACTGAAAAGCTAAATTCACAAAGAAAAATAGTCATTCTTGAAGTACAAAGATGTCTCTAATGACTCTTTTTGTTTGTTTTTTCTATTTATTCATTTATTTGATGTAGTGTTCCATGATTCGTTGTTTGCATATAACACCCAGTGCTCTATTCAATACGTGCCCTCCTTAATACCCATCACCGGGCTAACCCATCCTCCCACCCTCCTCCCCTCTAGAACCCTCAGTTTGTTTCTCAGAGTCCATAGTCTCTCATGGTTCGTATATGGAAAACTTTTTGAGCATTCCCAGACCCAAAAAATAATCCTTCTTAGGCATCTCTGATACCTTAGAACACATCCTACTGATGGATGGACAAAATAAATTGAGCTAAAGCACAGATGCTCACAAAGTCCAAAGCTAAGGCATCTCAGTGGTGAGATGCTGAGTGGGATTCGGGGGAAGCTTGGCCAGGCCACTCTTGCACTATGCGCCACCTCTCATAATGGCTCCTTCAAAACAAGTGCCCGACACTGTTTTAGCTTTTCACCTTTTTTTTTTGTAGAAGCAGAAATCCTCTTCAGATTTTTTTTGGTTACTGAAAACAGGTACTAATGTAGGTCTTTCACAAAAGCAAAGTGGTGTAACTCAAACTTTCAAAAAGCCAGAGATACCTTCATTGTGTGATTTTCTTCACTTCATTTTGCTTTTTTGTACAGGGTCAGAGTATTATTCCAATGCTTACTGGCGAAGTAATTCCTGTAATGGAACTGCTTTCATCTATGAAATCACACAGCGTTCCTGAAGAAATAGATGTAAGTTCTTACTTGTATTATTAAATAGGAATAAGGATACCCTCTTATCACTTCCCTTGAGTTATATTAGTAGTAGGTATATTACTAGTATTGTAATTTTAGTAGTATCCATTTTTTGTCATGTATACTATTCATATGAAGTATTAGCCACTTTAGCAAACACACATAAAACCCTGAGTTTTATAGCCAAACAGAGGCTTTTTTTGGTCATTGATAGGTATGGCAGAATTACATTTATTTAGTTTATTTCACCACTTGTATATTTCTTAAAAGTAGGAGAATTCCAGACCTTATAGAAGCAATCAGTATTGAATGCGATACTTTTTTTAACAAAGCAGTATACAGTAAGTGGTGGTTTGCACAAGTTTATTTACATTCACTAATCTAGTTTTCTTTATCACTTGTTGGCATTTTGAATTACATACTCTGCATATGTAGAGAAATCTTTAGGAAACTATTCTTGTTTCTTTCTTTGTCATTAAGATTTGTCTCCTGATTCTGATAGCCCAGAAGAGGAAGTTGTTCTTGTCAAGATTGTTGCTTAACTTGCCTGACTGGTTTTCACATTTGTTCTGAAAATTTATAGAAGTACCCAGAGGTTGTTTTATTGGGATTCTTGATGCTTAGAAATGAGGACAATGTGTCGTATTGAACCTAGACTTCAGAAAACTTGTGTATTTAAGAGTGTTATTTCAATGCTATATTACAGCCAGAATAACTTTGGTTTTTTTGTTTGTTTGTTTGTTTGTTTGTGGTGTGTTTTAGATAACTGACACAGTCCTCAATGATGATGATATTGGTGACAGTTGTCATGAAGGCTTTCTTCTCAAGTAAGGATTTTGTTTCCTTTTATAAAAGATGGCTAAAGCAGATAGAAATCTTAGGCTCACCTATGACACGATTTGGAAGGATGAAAACGATAAGAGACTAGCTACCCAAATTATTCTAGGAACAGTATTGCATATTTAAACTATTACTTAGCTTTGTGTTATTTTTTTCATTTATTACATGTCTGTGATATATTTGATGTTACCCTTTTTAATATTTAAAGAAGTCGAGTATCCATAGTGCCCAGGCAGGAAATCTTGGTCTCTTGTTTGGTTCTGGTTTCTTATTTTACTTCTCATTAAAGCTGAAACAAAGAACTGAAGGGGGTTCTTAGACCCATTTCCAGTGTTGGTGGGGGCTTCCCCCGCCAACAAACAATGCTCTAGATACCAAGTGGATGTCCTACAGTTTAATTCAGTTCTGACACTGCCTGGAGAGTGTCAGATTCCATAAATTAAGGGTTCAGTCCCACAAGACTGCGTCTTCCCTACCCCTGGACACCAGTCTAACTGACTGGCAACAGATTGGACGTCACAGCCACCCCCTCCTTGGACTTCAGACACCAGTAACAAGTCCAGGTTGTTACCTGGACTTCTTACCAATTGGCTATAAATCAGGTTCCTACAGCCCCCTTCTTGGGTTCCAAATTAATGGTTCCATTAACTTGCTAGAGTGGCTCACAGAACTCAAAGAAACATTTTATTTACTTGATTATTATAAAGGATAGAACCTAAGATACAGATGAACATCCAGGTGGAAAAGATGCATAGGACAAGGTCTGGGGAAAGGGTGAATAACTTCCATACTGTCTCCAAGCATACCACTCTCCCCAAATCTCCAAATGTTCACTAACCCAGAAGCTCTCCAAACTCCTTTTGGGTTTTTATGGAGGCTTCATTACATGGGCATGATTGATTAAATCATTGGCCACTGGATAACCTCCAGCCCCTCGCCCCTCCCCAGAGGTCGGGGAGGGACTGAAAGGTCTAACCCTTATCACGTGGTTGGCTCCATTGGTAATCAGCCCCCATCCTTAGATGCTTTCCCCCCAAAAAATCACCACATTAACATAACAAAAAGCATCTCTATCATTTCCTACACTTAGGAAATTCCAAGTGTTTTGGGAACTGAGCCAGGAGCTGTGGATTAAGACGAAATATATATATTTCTTAAAATCACAATATCACCGAACCCTTACAAATTAAGTTTCATTTGGATGGACTTAAGTTTTTTAGACCTAGAAAAGAAAATTATTTGTATTTTTGTTGATCCTTTCCATCTTTCAGCAGATTTTAGTACTTAAAAGAGTGTGGGCTCTAAAACCAGACTTCCTGGGTTATTGCTGTGTAAACCTGGGCAAGATACCTGAAGTCTCTGTGCCCCCATTTCCTCATCTGTAAAACAGGAATAATAATAGTGCCTACTTCATATGATTTGTTGTAAGAATTGAGTGAGATAAATCATATTAAATACATAAAACAGTGCCTGGAACATACAAGCACATAATAGCTGACATTTTCTATTTCTGTTTCTTCAAAGGAAAATGTAATAACAGCCAAAATTTATCAGATGCCTACGAGTCAGTCCCTATACTAAGTGCTCCCTCTGCATGTATAAACTCATTTTTTCCCTTAGTGTTTCTTTACGATTGCAGATTATTGTGAAATTTTATTTTTTTCAATGAGAAGTGAAAGGTTAAAATACTTGCTTTTTATGTCCATAGTCTTTTCCTCAGAGAATGTCAGAGGCGTGAGTGTTTTTAACCTAGAAGCCTTAACGACTTGATTCAAAAGCACTTTCGTGCTGAATCTGCTCACTGTAAGCCATTCATACCATTATTTTTAATCCCATTTGATTTTAAATAAGTCACTTAACCTCTCTACACCTCAGATTCTTTCATTATGAACTGGTAATATTTTACTAACTGAGTTTTAAGTTCAAATGGGAGAATCTCTGTGAAAGGCCTGAGGAAAATGTAAAGTACTATAGGAAACAAGGGATGGCATTTTTCTCATAGCTTTGGCGTTCATTGTGTAAAGCTAGTCTAAGTTGTTTGAAGTTCACTTGCCCTTTTTTTGTTTTGTGTTAGTTTGTGACATTGTTTTACTGGCAGTGTTTTTCATCTTTTTTCTTCACCTTGCAGTGCCATCAGCTCACACTTGCAAACCTGTGGCTGTTCTGTCGTAGTAGGTAGCAGTGCAGAAAAAGTAAATAAGGTAATTTATTTTATAATCCAGCCAATAATCTGACTTCTTAATGCTGCTAACATATCATGGATTCTAATTTAAAAGTTAGCTTGCAGTCAAGACAATCTATTATAAGGAGGTAATAGAATCTGGCCAAATTACTGTGTAACACCCTGTGACAAAAATAAGTTGAAGTAAACTGCTTAAATAGGAAATCATTAATCCGTTTCATTTTGATAATTCATAAATATTATACAGTTCTCAGTATTGTATAAATGGTTTTGAGAATTTCTTAAAATAAGGTATTTTTAAAAATTATTTGTCTTCTGTTTTCTGATGTCACTTTTAATAAATAGGGCAATAACCATGTACTTTTTTTTAAGATTTTATTTTTTCATTTGACAGAGTGAGTGAGGGAGAGCACAAGCAGGGGGAGGGGCAGAGGGAGAGAGAAGTAGACTCCCCGCTGAGCAGAGAGCCAGAGGCGGGGCTGGATCCCAGGACCTGACCTGAGCCAAAGGCAGACACTTAACCAACGCAGCCATCCAGGCGCCCCAATAACCGTGTACTTTTGATACTAATTCCAAAGAAATGTTATCTGGTTTTTCATCTTGATTTCTCATCTTGCTTTTCCTCCTGAATCTGTTTTTTTGGGGGACCTGTTGCTATTGAGTGGTCAGCGGAAGTTATGTTTTATTCAGTAACATTTGTGACCACTTCCTTCAGTGCTACATGAGTTAATAAAGACTTAATGAAGTTATCTTTCCAAGCATTAGGCAGAAACTAAGGGATTTTGCACTTTTCTTCACTGACTGTTAATTAGAAAGAGATAAATTGCACATATCTATCAAATTAAGTAAACCTGATTTTTCTTTTTGTTTTACACAGGAACTATGTTAGGAATGATTATTTCCTTGACAAATATATTTGTATTTTTTTCTCTACCCTGTATGCTTGCCTGACCATTTACCAAAATTATATTTTTCATACATCCATTTATGAGAGGTTAGTGTACCTCTTATTATATTGGTCTAGCAATTTATTGTTATATTTGTTACCCCAAGAAGGTAGGTTTCCATCTGTGTCACCCAGAACCTTCAGATTTCACAGAAGGACTGCCCAGTAGCTTTTTGGAAGAAGAAGGCTTTGTGGTTGGGGCTCTCTGTTTTTAAAACACTTTTTTCATCCCACATCCTCTTCTGGCATAATTGCTTCTCTTTTATTTTTTTAGTGTGAAAAAGGTTGCCATCACTCTATATTGAAAGCCTACTACTTTAAAGTCACTACTTTAATGTGAAAACTGTCTGAACATACTTACTTGGCTTTTTATTTTCCTGATAGAGCTATAGATCAAATCCTGTTAGAATCATAGATTTCTAAGCCCCAACTAATAGCTTGCTTATTTTAAGTCAAATTTGATAGAATTTTTTTTTTTAAGATTTTATTTATTTATTTGACAGAGAGAGACACAGCGAGAGAGGGAACACAAGCAGGGGGAGTGGGAGAGGGAGAAGCAGGCTTCCCGAGGAGCAGGGAGCCCGATGCGGGGCTCGATCCCAGGACCCTGGGACCATGACCTGAGCCGAAGGCAGATGCTTAACGATTGAGCCACCCAGGCGCCCCTCAAATTTGATAGAATTAATTTTCGTTCTATTGAAGGATTTGGACATTCCTAATATTCGTTACAATGGAATTTCACTATTCAACAGAGGCCATAATTCTGCCTAATTTAACTGCGTTTAGTTTTCTTGTCCAGAATTGTTTGCTTATTTGAAAAATAGTTGCTGCTGAGTGGAGATACAATCAATAATTAAGTCATTAGCTCTTAGTGAAATAGGGATTCCATGTTCAAATATGTTGAATAAAGTATGCATATCATATCAATCACCTGGTCACAATATATATTCAAACATTGAAAGTTTTGAAATATCATACAGTACGTTTACCAGCATTTCCCAGACTTACTTGACCACACAATTCCTATTTTAAGCAACAACTGTGATGTCCCATGGACTCCTGAAGGTGACTAAGGAATACTTTCTTCTCAGGATATACTTTATTGACAATAGTGGTTGAAGTTTCTATTCAAATTTCTTTCATAAGCAAACCAGTGACCTTTAATTTATTTTAATGCTAAAATATTTTCTTTTACAGATAGTGAGAACGTTATGCCTTTTTCTGACTCCAGCAGAGAGAAAATGTTCCAGATTATGTGACGCAGAATCATCATTTAAATACGAGTCGGGGCTCTTTGTACAAGGCCTGCTAAAGGTATAGTTTCCATTTGTCACAAGTGAAAGCAACTTTTTAAAATCATTTTTGACACTCTTTATAAATGTATTTTTAGTGTTAGCATGTAGGACATCATGGTAGATGCCAAAGAGCTGACCTATACACAAGTCTCGGCTTAGAGTATATGTCTTACAGATTTATACTTAGTATCAGTGAGACATTCATAGAGTCTCTTTGTGTGTTTCTCTTTGGTTTCCTATAGCTGCTTATCTGACCTCAGGATTATTTATTCAAGTTGCGTATCTAAAATGGGTACCTTTCTTTTTAACTGAAAAGAATTTGAATTTTTTTTTTTAAGATTTTATTTTTATTTATTTGACAAAGACATAGCGAGAGAGGGAACACAAGCAGGGAGAGTGGGAGAGGGAGAAGCAGGCCTCCCGCTGAGCAGGGAGCCTGATGTGGGGCTCAAACCCAGGACCCTGGGGTCATGATCTAAGCCAAAGGCAGACGCTTAATGACTAAGCCACCCAGGTGCCCCAAGAATTTGAATTTTCATTAGCATTTTTTGTTCATGTAATGTATTCATTTATTGAAAGAAAATTTTAAACTGCTTCCTGTCTTCAAAAAGTGTATATAGAATTTGAACAATTCATATATATACATATTCACATATGTGTATTTTTAAATTATTTTACATTTTTTATTTACTTGAGTCTGCTTTTTTTTTAATTCTAGAATAGTTAACAGACAGTGTTATATTAGTTTCAGGTGTGATCTAACAGTTCTCTACATTACTCAGTGCTCATCACGATTAGTGTACCCTTTGATCCTCACTCCCTGTCTTACACATCCCTCCCACCACCTCCTCTCTAGTAACCATCAGTTTGTTCTCTGTGGTTAAGAGTCTGTTTTTAGGTTTGTCTGGATTTTTTGGGGGGTTGTTTATTTTGTTTCTTAAACTCCACATATGGGTGAAATCGTATGGTATTTGTCTTTCTCTGATTGAGTCCGCTTTTCAAGGAGCAAAGCAGATAAATGTAAATTAGCAATTATTTTCAGTAATTACAGGGAAGATACTTTACTGAACCTATCATTGATATTTCAATTATAGTCAAAGATGTGAAAAAGTAGATTTCCTAATGGTTATGTGATTTTCTCACAGTGAATGCTATCTTAAGGATCTAGGCATAGCAAAATGAAAGAAAATATATTAAAAACTGTTGCAAATAAAAATTATATTCAGCTTTTGCATTTTCAATAATGTGCATGCTCTGAGCTCAGAATAATATTTAAATACAGAAACTACTTAAGGGAAACTCATTTCCAATTTGAACTGCACAAATATGAAAATTAGAATTTCTTTTTATCAAAGACATAATAAGGTACTTAGTACTTTTATTTCCTCAGCACCCTCTTATTTAATTATGTAATTTTTATCCCTGAAAAGGACCTACACCAGATACATAGAAGAAAACTTGAAACTATAATGAAAAAATATTTGTTAACACTTTTCCATACACGTATAAATTGTTAAGCCTTTCAGAAAATACTTTACCATTATATATCAGGAGCCTTAAAAATGTTCAAAGACTTAACCTACTATCTCTACTTCTGGAAATCCATCCTAGGGAAACAATTATATAAGGAGAAAGATTTACTTATAAAGGTGTTATTACAGCATTATAAGGGTAAAAAATTGAAAATAGCCTCTGTAATTGTGTTCATAACCTATACCACAATGCTTCGTACACAGTAAATAATTCTTACATGGCATTTAACTACCCAATTGACAATACCTGGAAAGACATACATTTTTTACTTATAAAAATACATATTCATTGAGATTTAAAAGAACATGTAAATAATCTAAAAGAAAATAAAAAGTTCCCCATAGTCTCATAATCCAGTGAATAACCACTGTTAATATTTGGTTAATAAGACCAAGATATTATATATCTTGGTCCTCTTTTTTATTCTTCTGTATGTGTCTTTGACATAACTCCCTGCCCCCTCCACATATTTTAACCTCCATTTTCCACAATATATTATGAACATCTTTCTATATAAGCACATAAACTTCAGCAAATTAATTTTTAGCAGCTAAACAAAAAACCATTTTTATTTAATCACTTATCTTTTTGGCTGCCTAGCTTGTTTTCTAGCATTTTACTATTTAAACCAGTGCTGTAGTGCACACATCACTAAGACTTTGTACACAATCATGACTAATTTCCTAGGATAAACTCCTAGAGATGGATTTGTGAAAGCCAGTTTTTCTAATTAAAAAAATAATTCTTCGTATCTTTTGGCATATAAGACAATAAATTTTCTTTTCATTATGACAGGATTCAACTGGAAGCTTTGTGCTCCCGTTCCGGCAAGTCATGTATGCTCCCTATCCCACTACACACATAGATGTGGACGTCAATACTGTCAAGCAGATGCCACCATGTCATGAACATATTTATAATCAGCGTAGGTACATGAGATCTGAGCTGACAGCATTCTGGAGAGCCACTTCAGAAGAAGACATGGCTCAGGATACTATCATCTGTACAGATGAAAGCTTCACTCCAGATTTGTATGTAATGATATTATTGTTAAACAGTATTATGAAATTATATCTTTTATGAGTAAAAACAAAACAAGCCTATGTTTGAAAGGAAGGAAATATTACTAAGAGAATTATGCTTGAAGAAATAATTTGGTTAATCATGCCCTTTTTTTAAAAAAAAATTTTATTTATGTATTTGACAGAGAGAGACACAGCGAGAGAGGGAACACAAGCAGGGGGAGTGGGAGAGGGAGAAACAGGCTTCCCGCCGAGCAGGGAGCCCGATGCGGGGCTCAATCCCAGGACCCCAGGATCATGACCTGAGCCAGAGGCAGACTCCTAAGGACTGAGCTACCCAGGCGCCCCTGCCTTATTTTTTTTTCTTAAATGTCTATTTTTCTTAATATAATTGTGTTTTGCATAGGTAAGTTAGATTAGTCCCTAAAAGTAAATATTCATGTATTTACTTAACAAATATGCATTGAGGCCCTACGCATGATAATAGGTGCTAATAAGGTTGGGCCTACAGTCTAGTGTATAAGAGTCATCAAAAGGCTTATTAACTAAACCAAAGAACCAAAGAAGTAATTCTTTTTTTCTTGGTATGTAAATATAAAATACAACAGAACTGTGAAAATGCATGTATAGAGCATTCTTTTATTTGCATTTTATATGCAGTGAAATGAAAAACATTTCATTTTTTTATTCATAAAGTATGATCAGTAAATTAAAAAGAGAAAAAGTGATGATAAAATGTTGAAAGTTGACCCAGTTAGAGGGGGAAAAATTATAAACCCGAATTATAAAACCCCAAGAAAATACTTAAGTTCTAAGTCAGGAGAAGAAATGCAGTATAGTCTGATGGTTCTCTTTAATCAATTTAGAGTGCCCAGCCCATATAATGTGCTCAATAAATGTTAACTGTGATAATCCATGTTTGAGTGTATAAAGCAGCAGTAAAATTGGAGCAAGCGGCCCTGTCCTGTAATTCTAAGAAACATTTGGAGCTGAGCCAGGGGACATGTGGAGCACCAATAGTCACACAGAAGTTACTGACCGAAAGCGTAGAAAAAGAACCCCATGTCCAAGGGATCCCCAGCCTCATGTGTCTCCAAGTCCAGAAAGATGGCATCATTAGGACCCATCTTTTTCCAGCTGTCCACTGTTTTTGTGCGTTCCATAGAAAGTTTTAAGGAAATTTGTTTAGAAAATGAATTCGTCAAAACGGGAATTCCAGGTGACTAATTTTTTAAGTATTGGTAATTGTGGTTCATGTGTAGGAATTCACAAAACTAATCTGTGCTTTCAAGCATTTTCTTCTTTCCTGAAGTATTTAGTATTTTCTTCCCTTTTTTTGGTTACTTCAGCGCTCTTTTTGGGGAAATTTAGTGAACTTTAGAATGGATTTATCATCCAGTAATTTTATTTTTATTTTTTTAGAGGAGGTATGTGTATGCTTTGGACATTTCTTACTCATTTTAGCCAGTTATGTTTTGATCGCTTCACTGATTTGACAGACTTTGATTAGTCAGCTAGTCTTATTTTACTGATGATTAAAAAAATGACATCCTGAATTTTTAAAATTTATTTACAACTCCCAAGTAAATTTTCTGAACATGAAATTGTCCAAAAATAATATTCTGCCATTAGATTGTATATTAACTTTTACATATTACAGATATATTTACTTTTTAGTTTTCTTTAAGCAGTATTATTTATTTTTAAGATATTTTTAATTTTAACTTCTAAAAATAATTTCACTCACTGCCATTACATGGAAAATGAGTGACTGGAAATATCCTTTTTTAACACTTTGCTTCATCTGATTCACCTATGACAAAGACAATCAGTTTGAAAAGGGGTGCTGCCGGCTAGTAATCATGCAGGGCTGACTTTTTTTTTTTTTTTCTTTCTGAGTTTCCTTCCTTCTTCTGCAATTTGGTACACCCATCTCCTGAAGTAGGAAATTTTAAGTACTTTCCTATTTCTCTATGCACACACCCCTCTTTGTTTGCCTTTCTTGTCAGTTCAGTGATGATCCCTACCATTTTCAGTGAAAAATTGCTTACCTTATGCTGTGTTAGAGATACATTATCTCTAGTGTGTATTGTGTCTTAACTTCTTACTCTGATCATTGCCTAGGTAGGTAACCCTTTCCTAAGTAGTTCGTTCATGTTACTTGCTTGGTGATAAGTTTGTTGATGCAGCTCAGTGGTCAAGATGTTTCTTAATCCCACTTGAATTTTCCTTAGCATTTACCCTTTTACCTTTTTCTTCCTGAACAGCTTATTACAAGTTACTATAACATAAAGTTAACCTTTTATTTTGTTCTGGGTTTTGGTGGTGGTGGTATGTGTTTATTTTTCTTGCTGTTTGTTTTTTTTTTTTTTTTTTGAGATGGCAGGAATTGGCAATTGTATTTATTAATTCTCTAAGCCTTTCAACATTTTTTTATAAGGTGAGGGTACAAAAATAGATTGATAGGGACTTACATGCCCTTCTTGGGGCTGTCTATATTTTTAAGAGAAAAATAATTACATAGTGGCTTGACAAACTCCAGTAATACAAAAATGTATCCTTGAGTTAAAATAAATATTTTTATATCTCCAAATATATTTATATATATAATTTTTTAAGTATGTTTATATATAATATTCCATTTTTAAGAATTTAATTTATTGGCTAGAGTGAGGGATTTTGGAAAGTAGCCATTTCAATGTTTGGACTGTTTTCTTCATAGGAATATTTTTCAAGATGTCTTACACAGAGACACTCTAGTAAAAGCCTTCCTGGATCAGGTAAATGTTAAACCTGAGATTGTCAAAATGAATGATATGATATGTTTTCTTTTTAGTGTATACTACATTGCCTGTGCTATATATGTAGCATCATAGAATTAAGTTGTTATTTTTTTAAATCATTATCTTTTTGTAATGTTTCAGATCTTTCTAAAGTGTCTACATAGTGTTTCTTTTGAATTGTTAATGGGTGTAGCCTATATATTAACAATGAAAGATGTGATATGTCAGTCAAATAATTAATGTTTTAATTCCAACCACTAACCTATCACTCTTTTGGGGAAAGGAGAATATTTTTTATTTGCCTTAATTGAGCCAAAATGTCTTTAAAACTTAGTATACTTCTGAAATAATAACATCTTTATTGTCTCATTCTTTTGAAAAATACCTACTTAGTTAACATTTGAAGAAAATTATAGATTATATGGGACTTATTTCTTAATATAACAGCTTTGTCATAGTATCATTCTGGGGACCAGGCCAGGAAACAGTATCATAGAGGTAACTTTGAAATAATGAGGTCCTTAGATTAACTCAAAATTTTAGATCCAGGTCTGTGTAGTCTGTGACATACTGCATAGTTCAAGGATAATTCATAGTCATGCAATTAATTCCATGCTTCTCGAGCTGAATAAAATCATTTTACCACTACACATGTACCCTTACCTCCAACAGTAGAGAGAGAAGAATATCTCAAATCCATAGTCTGTAAGCATGGCTCGACTTCTGGGAGCTTCAATTTTATTTGGAGATGTGGGCAGAAAAAGTTAAATAATACAAATGGAAGTAAATTACATCATGATTCTTTTTTTTATATATTTTATTTGAGAGAGAGGGAGAGCACACGCAAGCAGGGGGAGGGGCAGAGGGAGAAGCCGACTCCCTGCTGGGAGTCCGACATGGGGCTCGATCCCAGGACCCTGGGACCATGACCCAAGCCGAAGGCAGCCACTTAACCAACTGAGCCACCCAGGCGCCCCTACATCATGATTGTTAATAATAAAGTAAATAGGAATGTATTCTGAGATAGAATGCAAAATTTGAGTTCATTTTCGAAGATAAAATAGAAGACTTAAGAAAAACGTGATTGCATTAGACTCTACTTCCTGTCTATTGGGGACATCCAGGCGAATGGTTATAGAACTGCTCTAATATGTGTTATCTGCCAGACATTGTCAACGCTGTGATGGAAACATGCTGTATAAGAAGAATTGGAGCAGATTATTAATTAAAATACTTCCTTTTCCTGTAGGTCTTTCATTTGAAACCTGGTTTATCTCTCAGGAGTACTTTCCTTGCACAGTTTCTACTCGTCCTTCACAGAAAAGCCTTGACGCTAATAAAATATATAGAAGATGATACGTAAGTAAAACCACATGGAATAAAAACCTTTGTGCATTGTGTTTTGTTTTGTTCCTTTTGGACGTTTTCTATATTTTTATATATAAAAATTTTTTTTCTTCATTATTTATAGGCAGAAGGGGAAAAAGCCCTTTAAGTCTCTACGGAACCTGAAGATAGACCTTGATTTAACAGCAGAGGGCGACCTTAACATAATAATGGCTCTAGCCGAGAAAATTAAACCAGGCCTACACTCGTTTATCTTTGGAAGACCTTTCTATACTAGTGTACAAGAACGAGATGTTCTAATGACTTTTTAAATGTATAACTTCTGAAGTATATTTTGTCACAATCATGATTGCTGCTAAAGTAGCTCGGTGGTGCAGGAGACATCATTCCCTCAGGTCATGCCCTAGAGTCCTACTTGGCAGTGCAGTTAAAGTTAGTTACACTACATTTGTCACAAGTCTGTAAGGGGATGTCAAGTGCATCGTTACAATGAATGCATCTTTTCCTAGATGTGCTATCTTGGGATACAAACTTAGGTTTACAGTTATAATAAATGTTACTGCTCTCTATTTTAAAGATACAATAATAGAATATAAACTTGACCACAACTACTGTTTTTGTAGCTTACAATTCATGGTTTACATGTATCAAAGTGAAATCTGAGTTTTCACAGATAAATACTAGTTGACTTTTCATCTCTTGGTGTTCCTTGAACATAGGTTAAGTTTTAGAAAGAATATATTGATCAAGCAGATGCTTAATTCAAATTAATTATCAGATCATACTTCATAGACTTAGTAGTCCTTAGAGTTCAGTTTGTGTAAAAATGTCATGCAATACATGTAGTCCCGACGGTGAAACACGGTCAGGGTATTTGTTTGTTTGTGTATTTTGTCTTGAGCTCTGTCAAAGAAAATAGAGGAAATTGGATTTTATGTTTTAGTAGTTATTGCCAACTATTTAAATTAATTTTTATTATTTTTGAGCCAGATTGAAATGTGTACCTCCTGTGCCTTTTTTTTTTCTTGAAAAATATAATGACTTGGAAAAAGTTCAGATTACACTAGTCAGTCATTTTTATCTTGTTTTCCTCTTATAGATTCTCACCCTGATTTGGCAGTTGTGACTCCCAAGATTATAAAATGCAATAGAGAATATACTAACTAGTAAGATCTTTTTTCAGGAACAGAGAAGAGTATCTTGTCCTTTTCCTTCTTCTATTTCTGCCCATATTTTTGAAGTTGCTGGTAGGTCTCTTTGCCTGCATCTTGTGAGGAAAGCAGGAGAAACTTTACTGATGTGCTATTTTACTAGGTGCTACTTTGGGAAAACTAAGTGATCAATTTCTTTTGTTTCCTTAATGTGTTTGGACCATTTTGCTAGCTATAAAATAAGTGATTAATATAATTCTGTGCTAGAACAGTTTTGACATAATAGTATATACAAGCAGCTAAAATATTTTTATTTAAAACTGTGGAAGTTACACAAAAGGGAAAAATATTTATAAGAAAGGGATAAAAGTGGCAGAGTCCCTCTGCTGTTGCTCACCAAATTGAACCAAAACCAACATGTTCTTTTCAGAAAGGTCCTAATTGCCTTTCACATCACTGATCAGAAAGGTATAGACAACTTGATTTATAGACACAAATGGTACTGGATGACTGGCGCTCTGGCTCAGTCATGAAAGAATTTACAGGTAGTACTTTGTTGTACCCCTTACTCAGTGCTTTCTATGTGAGGTTATTAAAGAGTACGGACTGATTATCTTCTTTTGCTGGTTTATTGTACTGTGATAAAGAATGCAAGTTGTACAGTGAAATAAGTTATTAAAGCATGTGTAAACATTGTTATATATCTTTTCTCTTGGATGGAGAATTTTGAATAAAATATCTTTGAAATTTTGTCTCAGCAATTATTTGTTCAGAAAAGCAGTGTTATAATGAAAGACTGACAGTCTATGTTATATCTAAACTTTTTTTACTTTTTTTTTTTGAAAGAAAATCTATTAGAAGTTTCTTTATAATGCCCGGAATCTTTTCTTTATAATGTTGGTTGCTTTTATTATTTTTTTATTTATTTATTTTTTTCTTTATTTTTTCTTTCATTTTGTATTATTATTTTTTTTTTTACAAACCCTTGTGTCAAGGGCTGACTTTCAATAGATCGCAGCGAGGGAGCTGCTCTGCTACATAGGAAACCCCAACCCAGAAGCAGGTCGTCTACAAATGGTTTAGCACCAGGTTCCCCACGAACGTGCGTTGCGTGATGGGTGAGGGGGCAGCCCCCTTTCCAGCCACGCCCCGTTTCCTGGGAGGAGGAGCTCTCCGCACCAGACACTGGTCCCAACGCAGCGCGCCACGCCTCGCCACGCAGGGCGCGCGAGCTTTTACTATTTTTTTAACTTAATGCTTAACTCACAGGATTGCAATTAGATTTTTAAATTTATATACTAATATTTCAAATGTAAGCTATTGCTTGGGTAATTTTTTTGAATTTCTGTTATATTACTATAACCTGAGCTGAAGTTATTTCTTCCAGGTATCCAGTATAGGTGTCCAAAATGAAAGTGCAGGGAATCTAAACCTCATAATCTGGAAAACAAATAAGATTGCCATTTTTGGGGCACCTGCGTGGCTCAGTCATTAAGTGTCTGCCTTCAGCTCAGGTCATGGTCCCAGGGTCCTGGGAATGAGCCCCACATCAGGCTCCCTGCTCCACGGGAAGCCTGCTTCTCCCTTTCCCACTCCCCCTGCTTGTATTCCCTCTCTCGCTGTGTCTCTTTCTGTCAAATAAATAAAACCTTTTTTAAAAAGAAAAAAAGATAGCCATTTTTACTCCAGGTAAAAAAAAAATGTAATTCATAAATATAATAGTTGAGTTGAAAGGTTTCTTTAAAAGAAGACTGATTCATCACATGCTAAGATTCTTACAGAAGAAACCAAAACTTCATATAATGCTATAAAGTAAAAGTGAGATGATGGCTGTGGTCTGTTTCCGTAATGCAGGTTAAATAGGAGGGTAGTGATTGTTACTCTTATGTAACACTGTTTCGGTTTTGAATTGACGTTTCTCCTATGATCGGCAGAGTGTAGCCTAAAGTACCCCCAATTAATACATAGCCCACTGGACTTTCTCAATCCAACATCGCAACACTATGAGGCCAGTATTATTATTTCCACTCTACAAATGAGGAAACTAAAGCTTAAAGAAATATAGTGTGCAGCCCATGGTCACTCAGCTAGTGACATTGGATTTCATCCCAGGAAGTATAGTAGTTGCCATGCAGCACAGCACCTAGTACAGTTCCTCCATGTAGTAGGTACTCAGTGTTGTCGAAATGAAGGGAAGGGAAGGAAGAAAGTACTATCGGCCTACTAGTCCTCTGCAGCACCCAAGTGTGTCTCCTGCTGGGTCCCTTGGAGAAGTTACTTAACCTGAGGCTCATGTTTTAAATATTTGAAATGAGTGCATGATGATACCTCATGATTGTTGTAAGAGGATTTAATGGTTAAGGTGCTTACACCACTACCTGACCAGAGCTTCATACCTGCTTTTTTATCCAATCTGAAAATCACCACCTTTTAACCAGGGTATTTTAGAACATTTTACATTTAATGTGATTATTGATATGGTTTAGGTTAAATCTATCATCTTGCTAGTCATTTTCTATTTGTTCTTTAGCGTTTTTTTTTTCTTTTTCTGTTTTGAGTATTTTTATGATTCCATTTTATCTCTTGACTTATTGTCACTGTTTTCCAGTGATTGCTAGTTTAGTACACTACACACACACACACACACACACACACACACACACACGAATGTATATAAAGATCTATATTATATATACGTCTTTACCTTCTCAGTCTACATTCAAGTGATCTACTACTTGACAAAAAGTTGAAGAACTTTATAATAGTATACTTCCAATTCTCCTTCTCACTTTTGGGCTATTGTGGCCTCACATTTTACTTCTACATATGCTGTAAACTCCATACTTTGTTGTTATGATTTTTACTTAATTGTCTTTTAAAGGGATTTAAGTGTAAATATTCTAAATCAAAAAGTATAAAGTGTCCTATTGGATAAAAAAACAAGACCCAACTATATGCTACCAACAAGACACATCTTAAAAATAAAGGACAAACAGATGAAAAGGATGGAAAAGATACACCATACTAACACTAATAAAATGAGAGCAGGAGTGACTATGTTAATAACAGAAAAGCAGATTTCCGAGCAAAAATATTACCAGAGATAAAGATTATTTTGTAATGCTAAAGAGGTCAGTTCAGCAAGAGGACATAACAACCCTAAGTGTTTGTTTACCTAGTAACAGTTTCAAAATACACAAGGCAAGGGGCGCCTGGGTGGCTCAGTCTTTAGGCATCTGCCTTCGGCTCAGGTCGTGATCCCAGGGTCCTGGGATGGAGCCCTTCATCGGGCTCCCTGCTCCGCGGGAAGACTGCTTCTCCCTCTCCCACTCCCCCTGCTTGTGTTCCCTCTCTCGCTGTCTCCTTCTGTCAAATAAATAAATAAATAAAAATCTTAAAAAAACACACACAAAATACACAAAGCAAGAACCGTAAGGAGAAGTAATCCAATCTACAATTATAGTTGGAGATCTGAAGATCCCTCTCTCAATGCTTCATGGAACAAAAAGACAAATATTAGAGCTAGATTGTGCATAAGCTCAATTTTAATGAAGGACTTCAGAAGAAAAAAATCTATATCCAAATCAGCAAGGATATAAAAGACTTGAACAAGACTGTCAACCAATTTGGTGTGACATTTATAGAACACAGCAGTACTCCACAGTAGATTCACACATTCTTTTCAAAAGCACAGGGAACACATACAAAGATAGACCATATTCTGGGCCATTAAACAAGTCTCAGTAAATTAAGAGGATTCAAGTCATACAAAGTATATTTTCTGATCACAGTGGAATTACTATTTGGAAACTAGCACTTGTATAGGATTAGATGATTTCTAAATCGTATGTGTTTAGAGGACAAGGGGAAGTGGATTGGAAAGCAGAAAGGGAGGTATCGTTGTGGAATGGTTTTTATGAATAGTGGAACTCAGACAAGCTATGTTGGAGAAGATATCTACAATGCATAGATCTGACCTAGATCTTGTATCCAAAATATAAGAAGAGCGCCTACTTATTAAGATGACAACCCAGAAGACAACCCAATGTTTTTAATGGGCAAAAGATTTTAACATATTTCACACAAATGCATTAATGACCAATCATCACATAAAATCATGCCCAATATTAATCATCAGGGAATGACAATTAGAACTGCAGTGGATATCACTGCACAGCTAAGAATGGCTAGTTAAAATAAAGGTTGATAAGTATTGGTGAGGCTGTGGAGCAACTGGAATTCTCATACATTGCTGATAAGAGTATAAAGTATTAAAACCATTTTGGCAGTCTTATCAAGTTCAGTACATACTTGCCATATGATCCAGCAATTCCACTCCTAAATATTTCCCCAAGAGAAAGGAAAACATGTCCACAGAACTACTTGCACACAACTGTTCATAGAAGCTTTATTCATAAAAGTACCAAAATGGAAAGAGTCCAAATGTCCCATCAATGAAAGAATGGATAAACAAATTATAATATATAACAATAAGTACACAGGAATAAAAAGGAATGAACTAGTGAGATCCCTGGTGGCTCAGTCGGTTAAACATCTGCCTTCGGCTCAGGTCATGATCCTGGGGTCCTGGGATCAAGTCCGGCATCCGGGTTCCCTGCTCTGCAGGGAGCTTGCTTCTCCCTCTGCCGTTCCCCCTGCTTGTGCATGCTCTCTCTTAAACACAAATAAACAAAATCTTTAAAAAAAAAAAAAGGAACAAACTACTGAAATACATATCAAAATCTCAAAAACAGTACACTGAGCAAAAGAAACATACAGGGTACATTGCGGGGTCAACACTAGCATGAAACTGAGAGTGAATGTTCCATTTTGCATCTTAGGACCTTCCTAGTCCCAGCCTGAAAGTACTTACTACATCATTCCATTCATGTGAAACTAAACAGGCAAAACTAACCTATTGTGACAGCTTATCAGTGGCTGCCTTGGACCATGAATGGATGATATTTTACAGCAAAGGGCTCAAAGGAACTCTTGGGAGTGATAAAAATGTTCATTATCTTGACTGGGGTGATGGTTAAGTAGGTGTAAACATTTATCAAAATCCAATAAACTAAAAAAAAAAAAAAAAGCAGAACTCAAATAAAGTTTGAGTTCTTGGATTCTCTTCACATTGATAACAACCCATTACTACAACCATTCTTCACAATGATAACAGCATGATCCTTGCACAATCTCATGAACACTTCTGTTTAACAACTCTGCATCACTTAAAAGTTAAATCCAAAATCTTTGCAACACAGTTTCTCTTCAACTCTAACCTCACTTCTCACTTGCTAATGTATTCTTCTTTTGTTGGATCTATTACGCTATTCCTTTGCTTCTCTGTCTTCACGACTAAGCTAGAGAACAAGATCTTTATCTTTTTCATTTTTGTATCTCAGTGCATAGCATGGTATCAAGGCACAGGGCATGCTTCCCAAAAAATGTTAGTTAAATAAATGTAATGAGCATATGAAATATGATTTTCTTTGTCCTCTCCAAAGAGAATCAGTCCCTATAAATTAAGGAAATTGCTTTCTTTATATAATCAGAAACATTTTTCCCCAGAAAGTCCTTCATTAAAATTGAGCCTATGCACAACATAGGTCTAAAATTTCAAAGACCTAAGGCAGTGATTTTCAATCTTTACAAAGTAGTAATAACCTATCATTTGCTGTTTCTACATTTCTGCCTCACTATCTCATCTCTTGCTGAAATGTTCTTTTTAAATTAATAGCTTGATAAATGGCTGAGTAGTTTT